CCCTTTAATGATATATATATATATATATCATTAAAGGGAACTAAAGCCCAAGTTTAGCAAGGAAACTGGAAAAGATCATGCAGGATTCCTTAAGGATGTTTGAGAACTCAGGTACCAAACAGAAACTGTTCTATAAGATCAAAGCTGCCTCCTCCATTGGAGATCTTGTGTAAGTTATTTCACCTCTCCATTGTAAAACAGACTAGAACAGAAGCCATCTCGTAAGATTCATAATACATATAAAGTTCTTTAAACAATGACTGGCCTGTTTAAGGCTCAATAAATTTCATTAATTATAATTATTGACATTAAATTACACAAGTGATTTCAAGTCTCCAGATGCAGGTGTAAGTATATTCCAGAATAATTAACAACTTACAAAAATATTTCTTGCATAAGGAATACATAAATTACACCAAACTCTGTACCTACAATTTAAGACTACTATCGTGATCCATAATATAAATGCCTGCATTCAGACATTTGCTAAACCAATGCTTCATGAATGTCCATCATTTGATTAGCATCTGTGTAGTTCCCTATTTATGCTGCATTAAATTGCCATAAATTAAGTGGCATCAAACAAGAGAAATTTATTCTCAATACAAGAATCACCTCCTTGAACTATATTTCCCATCCTTTTGTAAATCTGGAGTCTGAAAGACAATAGACTGAAATAGATCTGATGGCGCTAAAGTCAGGCTGTCTGCAGGGCTGGTCCTTTCTAGCAGCTTCAGGGGAGAAACCATTCCTTGTCTCTTTCAGCTTCTAGGAGAACAGAAGCCTTCCTCCTTCCTCCTTTGCATCACTCCAACCTCTTCCTCCCCTCATGACATCTCCTAATACTCTGTCTTTAACTCTCCAGAATCCCTTTTATAAACACCCTTGGATTTCATCTTTGGATCTATGCACATCATCCAACATAGCCTCCCCATCTCCAGATCCTCTACTTGGTTATATTTGTACCCTTCCTTCTGTATGGGATGACACTCATGGGTCCCAGGGTTATCATGTGGCCATCTTTGGGGCCAATAACTAATCTACCACACCTTCTTCACCATTTGATTTCTGCCATGTCTGCTTACCAGTGCACTATTAATATTTTTCTTTATTTTTAAAATTTAACCTTATCTGTGAACTCATAGTTTCAACGGGCTAGTTATTTTTTTTCTAAAATTCACTAAAGTAACATTTTAATAAATAAAATTAAAAAGCTTTCTATATTTCTAACATGCCCTAGACTGTAAGTGATATAAATACTATACTTTAGGAAATGCTAATTGCAAATTCTTTGGTGAATTGATCAGCATCAAGGATTGGAGAAAGATTCCCTACAATATTAGAAACTGAGAAAGGGTAGCCTAGTCTAATGATCAAGTTCACTATATTCTTTTCTGAAGTCTTTGATTTCTATCTCAGTGTTATTTAGAATATTTGAAGGTATGTTTTTGAGTCGTATTATTGAAGATAAGCACAGAAATTCCTTGAGTTTCAGTTTAATATTGAGTTCTCTACCATTAAGGATAACTTTCTTATACTGTACATCCCACCTTTGTTAACTGTACCTGGAGATGATCCATTGGTCCTGAATGTTCTTTGTATAGGGAGGAAAGTCATAAATTCCCACTGGAGTTTAGTTCCAGCAAAAATGATGTCCTCTGCTGCTAAAGCTGTTGGCTTTCATTGACCACAGAAGAAAATGAATGTAGCCAAAGTGATTCTTTTTCTTGTTTTTTATTTTTATTTATTTATTTAGCCTAAGCAGCCAAATATAATCAGATTCAAGGTGTAAATGAAATCACTTTGGGACCCTGGGGTTCTAACAACAAAATTTCCAATATGAAGTATATTGTTTGGAGACCTCATTGTTTTGCTGTTTATTTTGGGTCAAATCTTTGAAGTAATAAAATCCTATTATAAAGAAACTTGAAATTAGATGCATTGGGATATTTTATATGAAATTAATTCCTGAATCCTGACCTGTACTTGATATTTTAAGAAAGTAATTTCAGTCGGCATAGGAACGTGCCTCACAGATCTCCACGACAGAGGACTCGATAAGGCTTCAGCTGACATCCCATGAAACCCATCTCTGTGTTTGCATCATGCCTTGCTCCCATGGGTTGCTCCTAGGACAGGATTGAATACAGAAGGAATTCTAAGATGCCCTTTCCTGGGAGATATGGAAGTCCTCTGGCAGGACTCCTTGCAGGTCCTGCTGAGCCTTTCTTAGATCACATGTAATTTAGGATATTTCCAACCAACCTCCTTTCCCTCTTCTCATTCATTGCACTTACACTGTGGTCAGAAGGCTCAGCTTTCTTTGGCTCCCTTTTCCTTTTCTCTCACAGGCATTTCTCTAATTAAATCCTCATCCATTTAAACCCATCTTGATATCTATACCTGGGAGGACCCAGATTAAAAATATTGTAGGCCCGGCTGCTGGTGTCCCTGCCAGGGGCAGCAGAGGGAGAGGAGGATGCTGGGTGCTGGAGCGGAGGGGCCTCGGGCTTTAAATCTTGGCGCCAGGAGGCAGGTCTCCCGACCCTAGACTTTCTTCTGGCGTCAGGGGCACGCACACACTCTCTTTGCTATGACTTCACCGTCAATTGTAAGCCAGCACCTGGACAGCAATGGTGTACAGTCCAAGGCCAGGTGGACCAGAAGAATTTTCTCTCCTATGACTGTGGCCTGGACAAGGTCAAATCCTTGAGTGCCCTGGGAGAGAAAGTGAGTGCCACAATCACCTGGGAAGAGCAGAAAACGGCACTGAGAGAAATGGGGGATATGCTAAAACATAAACTGGCTGACATTAAAGCAGAAAATGACATGGCCAGGGGTCTGCACATCCTGGAGGGCAGGATGTGTCGTCAGCATAAATCCAACAGCTCCTGGCAGTTTGGCTTCAATGGACAGATGTGGCTCCACTTTGACTCAGACAACAGAAGGTGGAGAGAGATGCATTCTGGGTCCAACTGGATGAAAGAAATGTGGGAAAATGACAAGGAGGTGACTGAGTTCTTATGCAGGTCCTCAATGGGTGATTGTAGAACCTGGCTTCAGAAGTTCTTGGTGCAATGGGAGCCAGAGCTGGAGCCAACAGGACCTTCAAGTGCCATCATAGACAGAGTCTCCCAGGAGTCCGCAGCCAGCACCCTTATCCTCTCGGCCTTGCTCTGGATCCTCACCTACTTTATCCACCTATGCCTCCAGATCTTCCTGACAGGTTAAAGATGCTCCCAAGAAGCTTCTGAAAATGCGATTCATTGAAATAACTATCCTTACTGATCTTCTGCCAATCTACTCCCTGCTATTCCTCCATAGAGCAAATGAAGATTAAACTGCAAATCCAGAGGCCTCCAGTGAGTCAGTCAGACTTAGTCACTCAGCCTAGAGCTCCTCTGCTTATTCATATCTAGTGAGGATTTAAAAGATGTTCCTGGATGTCACTTGTAGGAACACCATGAGCCATACCCTACTTCTGCAAGAGCTGGATGGTTCTGATTGCTGCTTTCACTCTCCCATCCATCACAGCAGCCACCCGCATCTTTCCTTTGCTACCCATTGGCCCCTACTACCCCAAGATCTGATGACCCCCATGAAGATCCATTAACTTCAATTTCAACTTTGAGCTCTTTGTTCTGTTTTGTGACAGTCCGATCCTACACTTTTTCTTACCCATTTCCTGTGCTAACCTATGGAATCATACACTGAGCTCTGACTGCTAGAACAAGAAAGCTCAACAAAGAGTTTTAATCTTGGTTGTGTTATTAAATACTTCTGTGTATCTTGAGCTGACCTTTATTATAGTTTGGATCTGGAATGTCCCACAAAGATCCATGTGTTGACTATGGTGCTATTGAGAGGTGAGGAAAACTTTAGGAGTGGAGGTGTTGAGTCGTGTTTTGAAGGGTTCTTTATGTCCCAGGCACCTTCCTTTCTCCCACCTCTCCCTCCCCCTATCCCTGTATTTAAAAAAATAAATTATTTTATTGCTACAATAAGTTAAACCATCTCTTCTGCCATAGCTCCTACTGCTGTGATATTCTGCCTTACCTCAGACCCAAAAGCAATACAGTCAAGCAAACTTGGACTAAGACTTCTGAAACAGTGAGCCAGAAATTAATTTTTCTTTCTTTAGTTTACTGTCTTCAGATGTTTTTCCACAGTGATGAAAAGCCAATACAACATTGATGGTGCAATATTGTCTGTAAAATACAATGAAACACATCATTTATAACTTCAGGAACTCTTTGTATGTTTTGTTTTAGTTAAATAAACATATATTTTGTCAACAAAAAAAAAATCATAACTTTCAGACTCTTAAAAAAATTAAAACACCTCTATTTCCCCAGTATTTGAATGCAGACAGGCATCTAATTTATGTGATAGTTGTACCAAGTTGTTTGGTGGTATATTTAAAAACAGAAAGCATAAATCACAGCTTTGTTCTGGCACCATTAACCTGGGCGTTGTATCTGCCTCCTGGAACCCTTTCATGAAAATTTCACCGTGGCTTCGGGGGCATATACTTTATCTACATCTGTGTAGCATAGTTAGACCAGTAGGCCATCAAAAGACTGCTGATATAATGATCAAAGATGAAAATAGACTTCAGTAGCTGTTACAGGTTTTTGTGATGACATGTGCTAGAGAGGAACAGAGTCACCACAGAGCTCAGGTGGGAAGTAATTGAGACTGGATCTTGCTGACAATTCATTTAAGAAGGACATAGGGAAACCAAAACAAGCATATTGAAGGCTGGGAAGGAGGGAGAAGGATGGAGGGGGTGGTGTGTGGGAGGAAGGTGGAGTGTGGGAAAGAGGAGACAGAGAGGGATAAAGGAAGGGGAGAGAAAGAGAGAGAAACAGACAGACATAGCCAAGAAATGACAGAATCAAATAGTTGGCCTGAAATTTCCCATTGAAAAGATGGAGTACTGATTCACTATATAATATCCAATTTGAAGATAGAAGGCAAGTTAAGTTTTATTCTTCCTGCTCCAGACCCTCTGGTAGGAGACGCCTCTTTTTATTGCATTTCAAGTGACAGGAATTTAATCGTCATCCTCAAGCACGGGCAGTGTTAAAGGATGTGGGCAGTCTCCCATGCTATAACATAACCTCTTGCAGCTTTTTTGAAAATTCTACAGTTATAGGTCCACTTGCATTTCTGATTTTAATGTATAAATAAGCAGTCTGCAAAATATATGTTCATCATACATATATATGGGTTAGCATATTCAATGATATTTCAGCACCCTAGATGGTACTTGAAGACAATCAGAGACACTGTGAGACTCCTTTAACCAACTTTGTGTTTGGGTTTAAAAGGGATGTTGATAGGATTGAGTCACTGGTGCTGAAACACAATTAGCTGTACATAGTGTCCTGTTCTCAAAAAACACACGAGTCCATGGTGTTAGGTGTAAATTTTGTTTGAAATTTTATTTTCAAAATAGTTGTAGTTGTTCTGCTGGGCATGGTGGTACATGTCTGTAATCCCAGTGGCTGGGGAAGCTGAGGCAGTAGATTGTCAGTTCGAAGCCAGCCTCAGGAACTTATTGAGGCCCTGAGCAACTGGACTGGGGATGTGGCCCAGTGGTTAAGTGCCCCTGAGTTCTATTCCTGGTACAGAAAAAAAAAAGTTTTTCTCTATAAAATACAACAAAGGGTTAATAAACAGTTTAATTGAAAGTCTCTTAATAGTCTGAGTAATAGAAATAATGTCATTTAAAAGGGGTGGAGGATTTGGAAATAGGAAAAAAAAACATGTATAGAATTATTGCTCCAAAGTTTTAATTTTTTTCCTTTTTAAATAATTTGATAATAACTCACTCTAAAACATGCATATTGGAAAAGAGAGGTAGGTATGGGACCTGTTAAACCTACTAGAATTCTTTGGGACCATCTTAAACTATTCTGTATACATATTTTTTTAATTTGTTAAATATTTTTTTTAGTTGTCTATGGACCTTTATTTTATTTATTTATATGTGGTGCTGAGAATTGGACCCAGTGCCTCACACGTGCTAGGCAAGCACTCTGCCACTGAGCCACAACCCCAACCCCTGTATACATACTTTTAATGATGGAAAATATACACACTACTACTAAGGTCTTTAACCATATCTTTGATTTATAACTCAGAAGTGGGATTGCAATAGAAATATATTTACGTTGTGGTGTTTTCTATGGTAGAAAAAGAAAAATCATGGCTTTCCCGAGTCTAAGGTCCCTTCAGTGACAGCATTTGTAATGAGTTTCAAGTTTCTACCTCAGTGGACTGCTTTGAAACACTCAAAGATGTTGATATTAAAGACAGCAATACCTTGAAGAGGCAGGGTGATGAGCAGAGAGGACAGCAGTAAAGGAATTTTAGATTCAGGTAACTTTAAACCAAATTGAAGTTGATTTCAAGAAGATAAAAGGCAGATAACCATCAATAAAACGTCACCAGGGCCTCTGTTTTAGCCAGCTCTTTTGCTGCTGACTAAAAGATCTGACCAGAACAATTGTAGAGGAGGAAAGTTTATTTGGAGGCTTAGAGTTTAAGAGGTCTCAATCCATAGACAGTCAGTTCCATTCCTTGGGCTCAAGATGAGGCTGAACATCATGGTAGAAGAGTGTGGCAGAGGGAAGCAGCTCACACAGTGATCAGAAAGGAGAGAGAGAGAAAAAGAGAGAGAGGCACTCTACTCTCCAGATACAAAATATATACCCCAAAGCCAAGCCCCAGTGAACCACTTCCTAGAGCCACACCCCATCTGCCTCCAGCTACTACCCAGTTAATCTCATCAGGGATTAATTCACTGGTTAGGTTAAGGCTATCACCCAATCATTTCTCCTCCAAACCTTGTTGCATTGTCTCACACATGAGCTTTTGGGGGACACCACATCTAAACCATAACAGCCTCTGTAAAGGGGAAAAGTAGCAAGTCAAAACCTAAAGGCATCTATGCTTAAATGATACCTGGAATGGAAAAGGAGTCTAGCAGTACAAACATTGGATAGAAATGGAAACCAACCGCCAGTAAGACAAAATTGTGAATTATTTTCCATTTCGAAATGCTTTAGAAATTTTGTTGTCTAAATAATCTCTAGCACCTCCCAAAGACAAATTAACTGGTGGCAATGCCCAGGAATTTTTTACTCTAATGCCTTTACTGATAATTCTGTCTTAATGGTTGGGGTGTGACTTGTTAGAAACATAGCTAGACTAAAACATCCTCCTGTGTGGCATGAAGTCGTATTATTGTATGCATCTGGTTATCCATGAGGATCACTTTACTAGAGACTGGTACTGACTTAGATTAGGTGACCTCTTGGAGTCCCTTGAGCTCTAAAATTCTTGGAGTCTGTGATATAAAAAAAACATGGTGCCTTCTTATAGAAAACAAACAGCTGGGAACCTCAGCTTTTGGTCAGAATGTATTCACAGAGAACTAATTTCCTTTACTTTAGACAAATATAAAATATATATTTAAAAAAAGTATTTGGACATTAGGCAACAGACTCCACAAGATTGTGATCCCCAAAAAAGGAATACAAAGGAGATGTGACCTAAGGCTGTGCTAGCTCATTGCCTAAACACAGCATCCAGGGCACAGAGCAAGGACAGAACAGACATGGCATGGTAGTCTCCACTGTGTTTAAAATGCAGAATTTATGGAGCAGAACACCAGAGAAAAGAGAGGTGGAGAAAGGGGGGTGGTGCGGGGCGGAGAGAACGAACTTCAGAGATCTGCAGAGTGTTCCTTGGAGACTTTGAGCTCTGTACTGATCAATATGTGCATGTGAAGAAACTACCCGAGACAAGAGGGAGAAAGAGCCACCAGAAATATATTTATTCGTCTAGAGAAATCTCCCAAGTCCCAAGCATATGAAAGTTTTCCCTCTACTGCTCATATTTGGAATGAACCACACCTCCTTTCTCAATTTCTGAATCCCTGGTTTCATTTATGTTCCAGTTCAAATCCTCTCTACCCTTAACAATTTCTTACATCCTACTGTAAAGATTTTACTGGACTTACTAAATCAGAGTTCAATTTACAGTATATTTAACCTTTTGTGTTAATATTCCTGAAGGCAGAGCCTTCTTTCTTGTGTGTATTGCCATGACCCAAGCATAAAAGCAATAATCGTTATTCGGGACTATGTTTTGAGTGCTGTGCCAAACACTTCATTTACTCTTATTTAATTCTCCTCAGAACTCTTGAGGGAGGAACTATA